AATAACAAAAAGTTATTTACTTATTAGACTATATGTGAATGATAATGTATTGTCATCTCTGTTTACTAAAATGTTTGGAGTTTCTTTTCGTATCATCAATGGAATGAAGTTTATATTGTTGAGTTTAAACTGATTTTGCTAATTTTCACATTTGAAAGAAAAAAAAAATAAATAAAAGACTGTCATACTATTTGACCAAAAAAATGCAGTTCGTGACTCTCCTCCTTTTCCAGGCTAGCACTGTCCATACCGTTTCTGCAAACTGCTCCTCATTCCCATGAGCTACCCTTCAGGAATGCTTGGAGAAGTTTCCAGTTCAGCACCAATGTTCACTAGAACTTTAACAAAGATGTGATTAAATCTTGCTGGTCGGAAGTGAAAGGTCTCAGCAGCTCTGACCTCAAACAATAAATCAAAAGAATTCATTATCTAATTCTGACTAGTTTCTTACAAAAGTCCCTCAGATGAGATGATAAAACTTTATTTCATAAGTTCAAAGGTCAGTTTTACTGGGACTTTATTATGCTCAGTGGAAACTAGCCAGAACAATGTTGGAGTGATGAGACGTAGCTTTTTCAGCATAAGTGTTTCTGGACTAGTCAGTCTAAAATAAATCCATTTCATGCAATAGATAGAATTACAACATTGCAAACCTGAACACATATGTATATGTAACATCAATCATGCTTATCTAGAGCCCTGGAATGTCATTTCTAAAACAATAAAAAATCATTTCATTTTGTATTTTCCAAGTATTGGAAAATCATTTCTATATAAAAAATATAAAGGGGCCCACGCCTTCATTTTAGAACATTTATTTGGTTGAGAAAAGCCCATTAGAAGTACTTTTTTTTTTATATAGTTTTGATTTTTTTCATCTTTTTCACCTGCTTTTATTTTTATCCTACAATAGATCAGAAATTCTGAACATGCAGAAAGAAAGGAAGTCTTTATCAAATTTCCTTTTCACTCTTCTCTCTGTTAACCCTTCAGTTTCTCAATAAGATTTACATCTGGGACATAGAAAAAAATGATTTTTTTTTTCTGGAAAACACTTTCTGTGTTGTTTCTCACACATTTTTTGATAATTATTATAGAAACACCCATCAGTGATTCAAATTTTCTGAAATACTCAGATTTTCTAAGTTCATGATGCATAATAGATCCTCTGCATATTAATCCTGGAATCTTATTTAGTTTAGGCTATTTGCACTTTTTCACATGAATTTGTTATCCATTTATGCTCACAGTTTACTGTAGTGTGTAGATGATCGTGCATTGAGCTTAAGTGTTCTGGCATTTCCTGTCTAGTCTTAAAAGTCCCATTATATTTGCAGGTCTCGATCTTAATTCTCAGTGCAAACCATCCATAGTATTATCTTTCCATCTCTCTCCCTCCCTCCCCTTCCCACTCTCATCTCTTCTTTAATTTCTGTTCTTCCCCTAAGACCTAAGTGAGTCATGCCATTAGCACATAATGCAGCGCTGCTAATGGCTGTCTGGTTTCTGACATACCCATTGCATATGTCTGTCCTTTAGATTAAAGAAAGTCATTTTTAACTCCTCAGTGTTCATAATGCATTCCAGAGAAACATTGATTCTTAGTAAATTTGGTTAAAAAACACAACAGGCATACAAACTAAGATCTTTCCCTATGTTTGTTTTTCATCTTGGTAGAGTATATCCAATCGACCTATTGATTTCTGCCCAGCTCAAGTTGCATACATCAGCTGCAACTTGACACCATCAGTTTATGTCATATACTCTAAAAAAAATCATTTGAAGTACTTTAAACATATACATATTCAGCAGACAGTGGCATAATTTATGAGGATCTTGTCTATTATTCAAAATGTTATATATTCTATTTTATATAACATTTTGCTCTGCTCTGATGATTTATCTAAAAAAAACTGGATCTTTGGATACAACCCTTTTTATTTCAGTTTCTTTTTTCTCTAGGCTGCCAGATCATTCATACGGGTCTTTAGTGGGGCTTAAATAGCTGATTTTTGCAGGAAAATCATAAGTATGAGAATGAACATGTCACTGCAAATGTGGAAGTTTTAATTCAGCTCCTAGGGAGCTAAACTGTGTGTAAAGTGTCAATATTATAAAGTAAAGACAGAGTTGAAATTCACACCTTAAATGGTTTTAGTTTAACACTTATCAGGTTATAATTTATCTTACACTAGTGTGTAGTGTCAAACATTATAACCACTACACTCAAATGTTGCGAGGACCATGTTCACTAAATTAATTGAGACAAATTATTTTCCCCAAACCATCGTTTAATATAACACGTACTGTGTTCAGGTTGAGTGGGTACCGCTAGCCTACTCTGCTGATACAGGGATGCAGCTATCAGCAAGGTAGGGAGACCACAATGGGAAATAGCATCAACAGAGCTCTCTGCGCCACCTATCCACCCTCTGCTCAGCCCTCACCTTTGCTTTTGGTAAAACTTTGTATTAATCAATCAGCATGATTGATTAATACAATCAGACACTGTAATGGATTTACAACTTAAGAAAACACAAATTTTAAATCACAGAGGCACCCACTTCCAGTTAAGAGTAAGGGCTAAATCTCTTACTTCAGCCCTTTAGGTGGCGGAACGATCCTTAAAGTGAGTTTTCCACCACACAGGAGGGAAGACATTTGCAGTTAGCATGCAAATCCATGCATACAAGTAGAACGACGCACCTTTTCACACAGATGTTATAGTAAAGTTAACAATGGACACTGGATAAGCAAACTTTCAATATCATGAGACCCTAAAGTTAAGCAGCTTAATAGTTGCGGTTAGTCCAAAGGAAAATGTAAGATTAATGTCCATATTGGTTTAGAATAATTGCGGTGTTGGTTCTTGGTGGTATTGTTCAGTTCAAGACAGCATGGGGGGAAGTTACAGTGACCAAGGGGTGCAAAAGCTGTGTAAATACATGATATAACTGCAAATTCAAAAGACCTGGGACCAGACCCTTAGTAATGCATAAACTAGATACTTATAGACATTGGAGCTGGGTATGAATGCCTCAATTTGGTAATGACACTAAAGCCAAAGTTGAAGAGCATTAGAAGTCAGCATGATAAGTGCTGTCTAAATAGTGCAGGCAGTTAGGAAGGAGCTAGTACAAGGAAGCAGGACGCCTCCAGTCCAATTAGCGAATGCTGATAATATTGGGTCCTCCTGATATTCCCAGAATAGCTCACAATTCTTTGTGGGACAGCCTGGAACAGATTCTCATGACTGAGCAACTGTGCCCATACTGTACCTGCCATTACCTAATGCAATGCAAAACATTCGGTACAATTACGCAAAACTATAGAAATGTGGTCTTTGTAGAGATAAATCATGCATTTTTGTATGGAAATGCAGAAAATCAGTTTACTTCTACTTGCTTGTGTGCTGGCTGAAAATCTCTCTATCTTTCAGTGTGGCGACAAACCCACAAACGTTTAATCCTCACCTTAAGGGCTGGAGGGAGAAATTTAGTGTCATTCTCTTGTTAAATAAAGTGTGATTAAAAATCTGTGCCTCTGCGATTTAAAAGTTTTTTAGCATAGTTCCAGCATTTCAAACAGGCTTGAGGTTCATTCCTGGAGGCTGCATGTGTGCTGGCTCTAACCCTCCAAAATGTAGTTTCTACTTAGAGTTATACATGGTGAGTGTTATTCTTATCAGTCTTACAGATATTAGAGATTTAGATTGACTAATGTGTACAAATGGGCAAGATGGAGCTAAGTGCTTCACCCAGGAGCTAATCAACTTTTTAGGAAGGGAATCTGGGTTTAAACCCACCACCTTGCTTCTCTACTGAGCCATTGTCATTTTCAGACTTAGCGTCCAGCTGGAGCATTCAGGGACTTTATTTGAACGTCATTTGGAGATAATCCTCAATTTTCCTCAATCTGTGATATTTGTAGTAAAAAAAAAAAAAGCCCAAAGCATCATGCTGCCTCCACCATGCTTGAAAGCTGGGACAGTGTTTTGAGATTTAAAACATTCTTCCATCAGCACCTTGAAACTTTGTCAGATGATAAAAAACCTGTTGTTCTAACTTCGTTTAAAGCACAAAGATTTTGAGTTAAATGGTGTTGCCATGGTGATCTGGCAAAGTCAGGCGTTTTGCCGTGACCATACTTTTGACTCTCATCTCCTCATAGATCCTTTAATCTGCACCAAAGTCACTATGATGGAACCTGGTACAAGCCCACACAAGAATCTAGATCAATAATTGGTGGGCGTGGCTTACTTTCTCTACAGCACCCCCTAGAAAGCCTAAAATGACCAGCCCCAAGCCATGCAATGATTTAGGATTATGAAAGTTGGAACACAGTTTCCTGTCCTGATGCTTCCTGTCAACATAGTTCAGTTTTTGTAATTTGGGCAGAGGGGATTTCTACAGATGTTATTGAAGTCATCCAATAGGGATGCTTTAAATCTCTGTTGGGCTTTTACGTATTCATTTAGGATACTTTAGCCATATATTTTATTGAATTGACTTGACTGTGGACAGCTTAGTGCTGTTTATCCAGCTTTTTATGACAAGTAGGAATGCTGATGGTTCCTGGGTTCTCCTTTAACAGAGAAAATCCAAAATAAATTTGGCAACTTTTTTTGCTTGCTCAAATTGTATTATAGTTATAACCTTGGTAAATGCTTAAAATGCATCATCTTTATAATATCTGCAAGTTAGCATGACCCATTCAGTACCTATAAAGCAGTCCAATATTCAAGAAGTTGTGAATCCAAAACAAGATACAAATTTTAGTCCCTTTTTAAGCAGTTGATTGCGATTAATTGAGCAGATATTTTGTTGATAAAATATCACTATATAAAGTGATAATGTCAAACAATGGGTTAGTACAACTTTGAACACATATTCTGGTCTCATACTCAGGTCTTTCTTTATATTTTTGAAACTATGTCAATGTTAATCATATTTTATCTTTTGCTGAGTAAAATATATCACAAAAACATGTGTTAAGTTGATCAAACACTGCTTTATTGTCATTAAAGGGATCCAAGGCCTTGACAAAAAAGGGTTGACTCTTGGTAGCTATAGAGTACTAACACAACACGTGACAACAATGAAACCCCAACACAAATGAACCGTGAGAACAAGTGATAACACAAATAAATAGGAGTCTGTAAGGATCTTTCATATGAGTTGCATCAGCAGAACTGGCCATCAGAGGAAAAATAGTGAGCAGAGCCTTAATATCTGCAAAAGTACATCAGAGGCATCTGTACAATGTTTGATTTTGAGTAGCGGATTGTCTCTAGCGCCATCTTTTGGTCATGCACAGTTGTTTCAAGTCATTGCTATTAGATTTTCAGAGCAGCAGTGGTTTCACCCATTCCAGCTTTGATTGTCACTTGTTTATGTTTTTGTTTAAAGTGCAAGAAACACTGATTGTCACTTGCTGCAGAAAAAATTGCATTAGTAATGTAAAAAACTGCTTACTTTTTAAAAGCTTCTTGTTTTACTGATTGGATAAGATGATTTTACAAATGAATATAAAATAAAATAAAAACTTTTTGCTGCAGTTTTAACCTAATGACAGAATGGAAAACCTTTGCTCTGACTAATTAACTTGTGCTTTAACGTTGATTGGAGCCAATATCATGCTACATTCTTCCCTCTAATAACACCAGGCATTCTTCAACAGTTATTTTATTTCACCCACAGATGTCTAAATGTCTTTACAAAAATATGCGATCTCAGCGCAGTCAGGATAGGTAGGATTTACACTTTTTTATGGTAGATTTTCAAAGTTTTAAGTACAAGTGATTGCCATAAGCGAGTCTAAAATCTTCACAGTAGTCTCACAGCTTACGCTTAGGGAACAAGCTAGTTTATCACAATATGATTAAGCTGCTCAAGTAACAACAACCAGTGGTTACACTTCACAATACACCTGATATATGCTGGTATTTACTTTGTATGACCAATTTTTTTTTTCTGACTGGAGAAAAGCTTTGGTTGTGCCCTGCAATGCTCCCAGGGTGATGTCTTTCTACATCTCATGAGACAAAAACAAAAATCTTAACCTTAATTTAACCTTAATCTTTATCTTTTTAATTCTTCAGATAGATTTTAACTTTACAACAAACATCAGCGTGTTTTATTTGGGACAGACCTTTAAAAAGCATCTCAAAATTCTGATTGAGAAGAAAAGGAAAACATAATTTTTGGAATATTTTGACACAAATTCATGTTTGTGTTTGAATTTCAACCCACTTTTATTTAATACTGCTAAATTAAATCTTGTGCAGTAGTTATTCTTTATAAGTAACCTTACCTGAACCCTAAGTATAAATGAAGCTTTGATATGAGGATCAATTTTTTTACTCTACAAAAAATATTATTAAGACTAAAATACACACAAGACAAATCTGACTTTTGACAAGTAGCTCAAAGGAGGCATTATCTATGATCAATTCTGGATCCTTCCGGTCCTCTCTGGATAAGGTTGAATGTATTTAGTGTTATTTAGTGCAAGTATCCAGTGCCAAATAAAGAAATTGCAAAAGAGTTGCAGACAGTGTGGGAGATGGCACTGCTTTATGAATATTCCCCTATGTGTGGATGAGAATCAATCTTGGGCACCATTGATGTAACCAGGCAAAAGTGTTGACATAATAATGCTGAGAGGAAACTTTCCTTAAGTAAAGACAGGGCAGGTTAGTCAGTGCTGATGGGATAATGGATAGAGCTATAAACAATGGAAACCCTGAAACAGACTATGGAAATTCAAAAACAACTGATAATTTCTAACAAAACTTCAGTACTGAAGTAAATAAATGCTGGCCATACAGTCTGACTGAGCTTTAACCACTCTCTAGAAGTGGAAAGCCTTATAGCTCTGGTCTAACTGCAGGAAAATGAGGTTCTATAGACTGCATAAAAGAGCCCACCACACCTTTCAGATTTGTACTTGTAAAATGTTTAGCCTTTGAATCACACCTTTAACGGCTTTGTATAGTACTTTGGAGAAGACAGTTGTGTACACTTGATTTTATTACATGGTACCAGAGTGAAGGGGACTGAATACAGCTGCTTATAAGCAGATTTTGCAATCATGAACTTTGAAACCACCACTTTATATAACTCTGTTGCTTTTGTCCATTACATAAAATCACCAATAACCAATAAAATACACTGAGGTTTGTGGTTGTGATGTGAAAAAATAGGAGAAGTTCAGTTACCTTAAAACCTAATAGAGCCATCCTTCTTTGGTCCTTCTTCCTAAATCTAGAATTGGTCAACCGATGTCTCCTAACCATACAGAGACAATACCAGTACCAGCTGAGTACTGAGAAGTGCAACCAAAGCTGCTTTTGGTTGATTCTGTAAACATTTAATGCATTTTGGGGTCTGCAACCCTTCAAGGCTTCTCTATAACTCAGACCTGTGCTTCCTGATAACATGTATCCTAATCTTTTTATGTTGACAGGACTTTTACATGCCCTTCCAACTCATCCTCCCACTTCTTCTTCTTCTGTCCATCAGCAGCCAGCAAGAGCTCACTGTAGTCTGGCCCAGTATTGCCCCAGGTTCTGACTCATGCTCTGTGGTTCAGTTCCTGGGACCTGGACCGGCACTGAAACCCCAGGTGATATCAGCCCTGAGTGGGAGAGGGGGAAATAATGGTAACTACAAAGAATTAATGATTAATGTTTAACCTTCTGTAGGTCGAACACACCCACCTGTGTTTGAGCTGGCTGAGGGTGGAGTCTGCAGGTGAGGGGAGGAGTATGCCGACGAGTCAAAGCTGCGCGGCGCAGAGGGTGATGGAGGTAACATGCAGGAGTACGAGGAGGCCGACTGGGGGGGAATAGACTGAGAGCGAAGCAGGAGAGGAAAAATGATGATCAGCTTTACAAAAAACAAGATGATATATGAGGTACTCAGGTCTGTAAGACTGTAGTCATAGCTGAATTAAACACCATGCAGTATGCAGACCGTTATGAGCAGGGGTGGGTAGAGAACATGGTACTAAAGGTACTCAAAGAATAGAATTACTTCAATATATGTTTGTCATATAAAAATAAAACATCTTCTTCTAAAATAACTACTCAAATAAGAGTATAAAAGGTTTTGGTATAATGTTTACTTACGTTCTAATTACTTGAGTAACACTGTTTCATCTGATGTAAGGTGTAGAAATGATGTACTAATAAAAATAACTTATATAATTATGTGAAGGCTGTAATGTTCAGAATAATAACAGAAATAAATCACATCATTACAAAATAAAGAGTTTTCGAAGAATAAACATGCAATGTCCAGAGCATTAAGGCTCTGAACCATTTCTGGTATTAAATAAAGTATAGGGAGCAAACTATCATGATGTTAGGTAATTTCACGTTTTTAACCAATTTTTAAAAAAATGCTAATCTATGTTAACCTCCACCTGAAAACGAGGTAACTGAAAGAAAAGCATCTAAATTTATCTATCTAATGATATATATATATATATATATATATATATATATATATATATATATATATATATATATATATATATATATATATCGTTTGAATTTTCTCTTTTTAGTTTTCTCTTTTTATTACCATATAAACATAATTTGTGGTGGCATTGATCCATGGAAATAATTTTATAAAATAATGCATAACTTCTGTTTTAGATAACCTTTGCCTGCTTCGGCCACATTACAGAACTGATATAAGATTACAAGCATTAGCATTACTTGGTATGGGAGCTTTAGTTTACCATATAAAGTAATTAATAGCATAATTTTTGTAAAAATCCAAACTTCAGGAAGAGTTCATAAAGGTGCAAAGAATGGGATGAAGAAAAAATAATAATTTGGGGAGTTTTATTTAAATATGGACTGATATTTGGTTTGGCGTCTTTTTAAAAGACAGAAAATAAACATCAATTAATTTTGTAATAGATTAAAATGTGACTTCTCTTCTTACTTTATTTCATTTTCATAAAAAAAAAAAGAATCCATAAAACAGGAACTTAAACATTTTTTAGAGAGGCCACTGTTTTCTGAAGTATTTAACTGATTTAAACATTGTTAAAATACTGTAGTAGTTTATAGTATTGGCAGTTTGCATTTATTTGAAACAGAAACAATTTATTTTACCATTGGAAAGAATAAAGAGTTGAAATCACAGATAAGAGTTTCCCTACAATGAGATGAAAGGCTCAGACAAAGATGCTGCTTTAGAGGTGTAGTTTGAAATGTGTTGAATGATGGATATTAATGTTGTCCCACCTGGACTCCAGGTGAGAAAACAGACAGCGAGCTGTAGCTGGGCAGGGACGACTCCGTCTGACTTAACATGGAGCCTGCAGAAATGGAGAGATGATGTTGAGCACATGCACACATCCACTCCGACTCACGGAGAACATCTTGATGGGGGAATATTTAATACAGATGCACTCTGATGGAGAAACTCTAATGCTTGTGAATGTTAAACAAGGGTGCCATGGGGTTAGTTATTATAAACCACTATAACATTCCTGTCACCAAATGTTTAAATCATGGGGAGCAAATGTAAACTGCTGCTTCTGGTGTCATGGATGTACTGTTGGAGCGAGCTGATGAGCTCAGGGTATCCTCTGATGATGAGCTGCTGTTTACCTGAACTGCTGCCGTGCTGTTGATGGTAGACGGACGAGTTGAAGGAGGTGCTCAGAGGGGCTTGGCTCTGTGAGCATGACGTTACGCCGCCTGACCTCCTTTGATTACGCAGCTTCTCCTCCCTCCTCCATTTGGCTCTCCGATTGGAAAACCACACCTGTCAATCAGGATGTAGTCAGACATTTGGCCCACTTCGGAACACCTGGCTTTTCTAAATTTATTTTGTGCTCAATGTCTATTCTTAGAAATGAAAAAAAGGGCAAAACTTGAGCAATGTTTGCTGGACTTCAACTGATTTTTCCGCACTTATAATGTGAATATTAGGTAACACTTTCTTTTACAGTACATCAATAACCATGTAATAACATGGTGCTAACATAGCAAGCCACACTATATTACTTGGTAACAAGAAAACCTTTATTTTGGTAATCATCCCAAAATCAAGGTATGTAATTTCAGATTGTAATATGTTACTATGTAACAATGGATACTTTAGGTGGGTAATTACTATTAGGTTACCACATAAAAGTTTTTATTATTTGCCATCACCTACTTATGATCAAGTAAATAAGCATTACAAAACTTAGCTCAAGTTCATTGGTTTGCTGTCTTCTAGGTTTTCTGTTATATGCCAAGTAAAAAGCTGCATTTTACTAGATAATAACACATACATTTATTGCTGTCTGATAAATGAATGAGTTTCCTGGTCATAACTGTTTGAAATACGACTTTACCTTGTCTGCCTGAAAATTTGAAGCAGAGCACTAACCAAAGTTTTCCATTAAGTTTTTTTCTTGTTACATAGTAATATAGTGCTATGTTATTACCTTGCTATTACGTGGTTATTGGTGTAGCTACTGTAAAAGAAAGCATTACCAAATATTATTGGTTGAACTATTTATGTTAAGGAGTCATAGAATGTGAGATTCTCTTCATTCTGTTCCTTTACATTCCGTTGTTTTAACTTGTATAGTTTATATTCTGTTTTTCGTCATGAGAGAATGAAATAAATGCATTTAAATAAGAAATACATTTAAAAAATCCTCACCTGTATCCTGGCCTCAGGTAAATCGATCTTGTTTGCCAGCCTCTCCCTAGCAAAAACATCTGGATAATGTGTCCTTTCAAACTCTGCAGAGGATATTAGATAAAGGACAAGCACAGATCAGGGATGTTAGATGAGAAATCAAAGGACTGCTGGACAGCACCTGGACCTCAACATTCAACATTGAATTAATCTGAACTCAACTGAACAAAAAGTGCAAAATTCTGTCAAATGATGTTTCATATTGTATATTAGCATTACTAATTATGTTTTAGAGGAAGCTTTAATCCAGGAAGTTAAGCATCTATACTTACAACCCGTTTTGAAATATTTATCTGTTGCACTTTGTATCAATAATTTATCCTTGTGGAACACGCACAAAGTTCAACTGAAAGGATTCCAACTGAGAAGCTGCTTAAGCACTTTATTTTAAAGCAGGGCTGCTTTAAAATGAAGAGCACAGAACTGCTCTTTGGTCTGGATCTCATCAAAGCTGGTTTCAAGTTGTGTTTGGTCACATACACCAGCATTACCAACCCACCGACTTAATTAGGACTTGAAGTAAACCCTCTCTCCTCCAGCTCTCATCGGCACAGAGCGGGATGGTTTCAGATCATCAGCGTTTATCAAGGCGGTTCATTTAAAGCTGACAAACGGTTGACATTTCTGCTGTTGACAAGTCGAAACGTGAACATGTCTCACCATGCCAGGACTAGGGTGACTCATTGATCTTCAGGTTTTTTTAGGTCTGGTTTCAGAGGAAGTTTAAAACTTCAGTTTGTCTCCACCTGCAAAGCTTAGTCATTTCAAATCTTAACTAGGTAGAAAATAATAATTTGGCTTTTCAAAGATAGTTCTTTCCCCATAACCTCCAAACAGTGACAGACAGTCATGGTTTGGGGGGTTTAAAATACATTTTAAAAATGGTAAAAATTAGATCGATGTATTGTGGGATGGGTGGAAAGAAATTAAGTATGCGTTGATGTTTTTGGCATTTATGTGCTAATGTTATTTTTAGTTTTGCATTATGGTGAAAAGTTCAAATGAAGCTTATGAAGCTCTTTGTTGGAGAGACGTTTAAAAAAGGAAAGGAGCTAAGAAGTTTTCTTTTTTTTTCTGCCGCTGTCACTAAATTAATTAAAGGCTGCTCTTACTGACTCATTTGTCTTTCAATGGAGCGATGTTTTTGTATTTGACTTATAATGTGTGTATATGATTTATTCAAAATGTTTTGTTATGAATGTGTGCTGCTTCCAGACTTGCCCAGGAATGTCTGGTTAAAAATGATTCTTAATCTTTGTGGGAATCTTTGTGCTGAAGTAAATGTTGATAAACAGATAACTGCCTGTCAGCTGGCTGAACAGAAGGGTACTTTGTCTTTCCTTCACTTCCAGGAAGACAGGTTTAATCTTTTAGAAATATTTTTCAGCAATCCTGGTCCAAAAAGAACAAAAAACAGCCTAGTTTCCTTTTATCCTGTTCATTTAACCAGGTGATAACCCGCCTGTCTGCCTTATGGAGCCGGAATTGCAAGTGGTTGGATCTAATCTTTGTTCAGGCTTGTTACTGTTGGACCTACATTATCTGCCTGTGCCTAAAAGTAAGAATGGATTCAGTTGCAATAATACATTTGCAAAGCTGTAAGTAAATAGAGTTTTACTTTAATGCATAGGCAAAAAGCAATACCAATTAAATCTTGGCTCTTTTAGTTAAATCTACCCTACAAATTGATCTAATTGGTTTTCTTATACCAGGCATCTTTGTCAACACATCATTGTTATTGTGCTTTGGCTGTGCACTGAGGTCAGTGTATCTCATTAATGTCATTTGCACAGACTGACCACAGTGATATGTTTCTGCTCGGGTGCACAGTGGACACTGAGTTCTTATTTAGCTTGAGGGCCCTGCGCAGCCACATTCAGTCAAGGGTGCCTCTCTGATCCCTCGCAGTGGATACAGGGGCCACATCCCGCTGCACAACACAACCTCAATAATGATGCATTTTCAGATTGTTGCTTTATGTTGCTAGAGGCATTTTTGGAACAGATTGGGAATATTTGCGGAGTTAAGATAGTGGATGATTTGCATCTGGAACTGAGCGCAGTGTGGAGATTAGCCCATGGAAGTGCCAATAAAGGTAACGACCAGGGAAAATATGCAAAGCCGGGATTTCTCTTTGGCCTTCAAATTATTAAACAAAGCTTTAAAACCAGGGCTTCATCTGATCACAAAGGTTTAGTTGTGCCATGGTAAAATTCCTGCCCTCTGGGAAGGAAAAGGTCTAAGCTTTGCATGTTTGCATGTGTCTGACCTTTCTCCAGAGCCTCGATCTGCTCCTGTGTGAAGCTGGTCCTGTTCCTCTGCAGCTTCCTCTTGAGCTGCAGCCTCAGCTGAGACTCCTCGCCTTCGTCCCGCTCCACGGGGACTCCTCCTCCCCCTCTTCCAGAGCCTCCTCCTCCTGCCTCTCCCCCAATGCCTCCCTCTGTGTCCAGCATGCAGCCCTCGGACACTGCCAGCAAGGAGAGAAAAAAACAGTAATGTGAATATTTTTGTCAAAGAATGTCAAATTTTAGAGCTGCAGAATTTTAGAAACATTGCCAGCTGTTAAATAAATGATACCCTGGGCGAGTTCTTCTTTCGGGTCCCCATGCCATTACAGACACACACACACGCTAGGGAACAAAACCTACACTACAAAAATTTCTTAAAATTTTACAGCGTATCTTATCTGTGTCATGCACTCATGCAATTTCTCACTCGAACCAGTGTACAGGAAAGGTATTATCTAAACTTACAAAAGATAAAATAATTAAAGAAATAATAATGCTATTTTTAAGTTATGTGTTGTGATTTTTTTTTCAAAACAATAAAAAGATATATTGAGCTGATAGAAGCCCATAATATTTTATTTCACTTGGCCTTGTTTGCTTTGATTAAAATAAATAAATAGCATTGATAAATTAGATATCCTACTTAAATCATAACAACATATCAACATAAAAAGTGCCCACTTCCCACTAAACATGGAAATAAGCAACAAAAACCTTGCTGATGTTGCAATGTTTGGCACTATTTTCTCATCTGGCTGCATGCGTCAGACCCCTTAGCCATAGCCCCCTGGGCAGTGAGCCCTATCTCAGATATCAAAAACTCGGTTAGAAACTGGTGTGGTGGCTACAAGAGTTAATCCACTTTAAAGTTCCTCTGATATAACATTAACCAGCTAACATACCTTCATCCTGGGGAAAATGCTTCCTCACCTGTGCTGTGCTGAGTCTGAACCCCAGTGGGGTCATGGTACCAGTTGTTGGGCCCGCTCCAGTTGGAACCACTCTGCAGGTTCAGCATGGTTAACTTCTCATACATACTATGAGCATCCAGACAACCATGGAGATAACTACTGGAGCCCCTGTCCACTGCGGGTTTTTGCCCGTTTGCTCCTCTCCGCCTCTTTGGATCTGTTTTAAAAAGAAGAAATCAAAGAAGGAGAAGGAGGGGTTCATATCGCATGAGTTCACACATGGTTGGCATTGTTGCGAATTAGCCTCATGATGACAGACATAAATGGAGTTAGTTACATGCTCGCTGTCGTAACGTGTGTGTGTTATACATTGCAAACCTAGTATACCACAGGGACAGAAGGTACATTAGAACCCACTCTGAGAGCCATGACTTTTAATTTGCTTTTAGCACTGCACTCGCTGGAGAACCGAAGCTCACATGGAATCACATATAAGCTAAGAAAAACATGAAAATATTAATTTATATGAAATGAATAAAATGTTTATCCATCTATGCACAAATGGAGATATCATATGAGTTGGATGTTTTATCAAAGACTGGAATCAATGTTGCAGAAGTAAAATCTCTTTGCAAATCAGGATGTATTGTTAAAGGATGCACTTAACTACAAAGCTCTTGCATAAGTAATATTTTCCAAACTCTTGTGTTATCTTGTGTAACAGTGCAAGAAAGCAAATTTGCATCATACTAAGACAAAACATTTAAACGACGGAAGCAACAATCTGCCAAAGGTCAAGTTGGATTTATTTAGAATTGACTAAAACGGTGAATAATACTTTTTTTTTTAACCAATACCTTGACGATTTTATAACTGATGGTATTCCAATCCCATCAAAGTCCCCCTCCCAAAAAAAAATCTTAAAAAATCAGAGCGTTATGAGACATCAAAGCGCTTTAAAGATTCAATTTAACCAACTTACCAAGTTGACCAGGTAGACCGAAGCAGGTATCCTGAGAGTTCCTCTCCTCCTCCTTGGACCTTTATTCCCTAAACGTCCGGCTTTGTTGACAATACTGTGTATGTGTGTTGTAAAGGAGAGTGCAGGGAGAAAGATGAAGAGAGTTGGACAGGGTGAGATAGAGTGAAAGAGGGAGGAGAGGGATGGTGGGGGGGGCTCTGGAGAGAAATGCGTCTGCGGGCACTCGTGTCCTCCGAGCGATGGGGAGAGAGAGGAAGAGGAAGAGAGGAAGGGAGAGGGAGCCACCGAGGGGTGACAAAGTGAGTCAACATCAGTGTCAAGTTTGAACTTAATGCCAGCGAGAGGAGGAGGGGGAAGGCTGAGAGAGTGGAGCATAAAGCACAGATAATGGAAAGATAGGGGATGATAAATAGATTTTGGGGTTCAATTTGCGCCATGAATTACACATAAATACCGAGGTAAATCAGCAGATAAGAAGTTTCAAATCAGACTGAGTTGGACCAGGTGAAATCTTTTGTGGTTAACTTGAGATCATTTATACTTATTTTTTGACATTTAAAAAAAGAAGCCGTATAGTTACTATTTATGCACATTTTGGCAAACATTTTGCATTTTCTGTAAAGGTACAAAAAAAAAACCTTCAAAATAATGGAGTCGTTACTGTGTTTTAATAATGTCCAATATTTCTGTAAATAATAATCAGTTATGAATTAGTTCAGAATGATCATTCTGAGTCAGCAGTGCCATTTGGCCTTAACCACAATTAGCTTTTCTTTTCTTCTCTGCTGCTCTTTTTGTGGGTGATCAACAGTAATTTCCTTATGCTAAAACCACAATCCTACAAAATAAAACAAAAAATTTCAGGAACTTCAATTAAAGTAAGGAAAGTTTAAAAAATAAAAAATATTATTATTGAAAAAAAATGTATGGTTTCATGCAAAAAAATAGTTGAACTTTTATACTTAATATATATATATTTTTTATCAAAATAATTAATCAGAATAAAATTTTTTTTTATTTACATGGTCAGAAATTACTAATTGGAAAATTATCGTTAAAATGACAAAAAAAAATCCTAAAAGTTGGATTATTAAGTCAAATTGAAGCTCTGAATTGGGATTAAAGGTTAGAAAAGAAGTGTGTGAACGTGGATGCAGTGACTAACCTATTAACCAAACCCCTACTGAGAAGGTGTTTTAACCCAAAACATGTGCTGTACCTTGAACCACAAAAGATTGACAGGTTTAAAGGACACACAGTTTAATGCATGAAAAATATTTCTAATCAGAACATATCTATAACCCTTGTGCTTCTGTTGTGGAACTGAATGAAAAAATAAATCAATAATTCTCTGTTTCACAATTAAGGAGTAATATAATCAGAAGATTCCTATTGATAAGGTGGGAAGTAAGGGAACCAAAAGAATCTTATTTAAGAAACAGATCAAAAGGAATAATCCACTGAGGCCACTATGGTTTTCTAGCTCCTGGATTATCAAAAATCCACACCAGTGTTTGATTCTTATGTTTTTAAGAGTAAAATGGTTCCATTAGTGTTGGAAAACTTTGCCCGACAACAACCTGAAGCACAAATCTGATGGCTTGACAGAAATGTTAGAGGAGTAAAACAAGACCAGTTTTAAGACCAGAGGATCAAACAGGATCAAACAGTAATAACGCACTGATATAACGCACTGATATATATATATATATATATATATATATATATATCGCGCGGGTGGCCTTCCCCCCTTTTTTCCTCCAAGCTTGGGTCCTCTACCAGAGGCCTGGGAGCTTGAGGGTTCTGCACAGTATCTCCTAGAACTGTACTCTTCTGGACCGAGATGTCCTATGTATTTCCAGGTAGCTGCTGTAACCACTCCTGAAGTTTGGGGGTCATTGTCCTGAGTGCCCCAATGACCACAGACACCACTGTTGCCTTGACCTTCCAGGTTTCCTACAGCTCTTCTCTGAGTCCCTGGTATTTCTCTAGTTTCTCATGTTCCTTTTTCCTGATGTTGCAGTCACTTGGCATTTCTAAGTCACAATGGCTTTTCTCTGCTTTTTGTCCACCACCACAATGTCCAGCTGGTTTGCCATTACCATTCCTTATCTGGAAGCCCCACAGGATCTTGGCTTGGTCATTCTCTACCATCTTTGAAGGTGTTTCCCACTTTGACCTTGGGGTTTCCAGCCCATACTCTGCACAGATGTTGCTGTACACTATTCCAGCCACTTGGTTATGGTGCTCCATGTAAGCTTTCCCTGCCAGCATCTTACACCCTGCAGTTATGTGCTGGATTGTCTCAGAGGCCTCTTTGCGCCTTCTGCACCTGGGGTCTTTTCTGGTGTGGTAGATCTGGGTATCTATTGCTTTGGTTCTCAGGCCCTGCTCTTGTGCAGCCATGATGAATGCCTCTTTGCTGTCCTTCAGTCCGGCTTTGGTCAGATTTCCTGATATCGGCCACTTAGGTTATGTTCCGGTGGTACATCCCTTATAAGGGCTTATCGTTCCCTGACGGAGCCTCCAGCACCTCATCATCTGTTCTCCATTGTCTGAGACATTCAGTGAGGATGTCATCTGTTGGAGCCTTGTCCTTGATGTACTTATGGATCTTGAATGTTTCATAGTGGCTCTCACGCTCACTATTCCTCGGCCTCCTTCCTTTCGGCTAGCATAGAGTCTCAGGGTGTTGGATTTGGGGTGGTACCCTCCGTGCATGCTTCGGAGCTTTTGTGTCTTAACATCTGTGGCCTGTATCTCATCCTTTGGCCAGCTTATTATTCCTGCAGGGTATCTGATTACTGGTAGAGTGTAGCTATTTATTACCCAAGACTTATTCTTGCCATTGAGCTGGATTCATAGGACCTGCCTTACTCGTTGGAGGTATTTGGCTGTAGCCGCTCTCCTTGTCACCTCTTCGAGGTTGCCATTTGCTGGTGGGATTCCGAGTTACTTGTAACTGTCCTCAATGTCTGTTATTATTTGTTCTGGGAGTAAGACCCCCTCTGTGTGGACTACCTTCCCTCTCTTAGTTCCCATCTGACCACACTTCTCTAGTCCGAATGACATTCCGACATCTCTGCTGTAGATCCGGGTGGTATGGATGAATGGTATGCAAACTCAATGAGCCAGCTCATTAAGTTTGCAATGAAGGCTCTTAGAGTCCTGTTATATATATGTGTGTGGCATTGAGTATATATTTATTACAATTTCATTAAATTGATTGTGAGAATCTTACTTAGAATCTATTTATATATAGGATGTACAGAATTAGCATCAGAATTAGCATCATTCTATATATTCATTCTATATAACTGAAGAACATTGAATTTAAGTTTATCCGGTAGAATAAAAAAAATGTTTTAATCCCAAGCAGATATCAAATGTTGTGTGCACAAAACAATACATGATTTGCTGTTTAGTTTCCGTGGAATGCAGAAAATGAGATCAATATTATTAATAGGTCTGTAAAACTTACTCGTTTAAACTTACTTGTTTAAGTGTAAATTTATTTTGAACCTGAAGACAGCATTTCAGCTACTGTTTTAGAACAGTAAGGTTTGGACACCCACAGCATAAAGAGCATCTAAAAAAAGTAATTTTAGCCCTTGAACTTCTTTCTTGGGAAACAACAAAATAAATGAATGCATCCTATTTGGATTTTACACACCAGACAAACACAATTCAGCACATCATTGAGAAGTGAAAAAAGAAGGCTAAATGGTTTTCAATAGTTTATAAGAATTTGTCAATATTGTTTAAAATCCCCCTTTGCTGCATTTCTTTTTTTCCATACAAAATTACATATTTAAAGAGAGGAATTAATTCTCCTTCAATTATGCATCATAGATCAAGCTATGTGAGGATCTGTTAACATCAATTTTGAGATTCTCTGTTCGATTTAGGTCAGGAATTAACTAGGCTATTCTAACGCATGCGTCAATCTAAATCATTTCATTGCAACCCGGGTTACATGTGTTATGATTTTGTCCTGCTTGAATGTCAGAGCACTTTTTCCCACACATTTTATGTGTCTACAATGATCTCCTGGATATGACTGTCGTGTTTCTCTGTCATCATAGCGCCATTTGTTCATTAATGTTATCTGACAATCCTCATAGAACAGCTGGATTTATCCAGATTCATTTTACTCATAAGCAGACATGATGGTGTTAACTGGGCACCATTAACGTATGTGGTTGTAGCTACTGTACAAGTAAATGCCACAATAAAGTTCTTTGTAAAGACCAAAATACAGAGTCTGTCTGTGGTAAGGCAAAGGTCCTTAGTAATAAAATTAGGACACATGACAGGAGGAATCACAGAAAGAGTAGGTCATAGAATAGAGGCTGCTTAACATGAAAAACAGCAAGGAAGAAAGACAAACCAGGAGCTTAGATAGGACAGTGACTAACTATCAAAAAAGGCTTTAATTTAAAAAATACCCCTATGCGAGTAGAATAACACCTAAGTATATTTCTCCTCATTGCTTCAGTCTCAATTAGACCTAAGAATTAGGTTTACATTTTTTTCTGCAAACATTGACGTATGACAATTCCTGGCCAAGCTATTCCAAAATAAATGAAAACCTTTTACATAGATATCAAAGTATTTTGCACAACCAATGTGGCTGTAACTTTTATAATCCTTTTAGATAAGGCACAGCTAAATGTTCTACTGCATTTTGCACCATTTTTATTTGCACTTCACTTACCCTTTCCATTTAAATGCCCTTTTGCAACTTTATTTTTTAAACTGGTTTTGCTTTTCTCCTAAACTGTTTACACGATGATTACTGCTGCACATTATAATAGTAATGTTAATTTCACTGTTTCACTGGTGTAAGCTGTATGCAATGTAATTTCATTTTGTATACAGTCGGTGTATACAAAAGGACAATAAAGTTTGTCTAAGTGGATACTAACTTTTGGCTTTTTCTTTTTGCAATGTTTTTCTATTTTTTTTCCCTTATAGATAAAGCACCTACCTGACCAAAATTATGCAACCCTTCAATTATGTCCAAGTTTGCATTATTAATCTACATAGGTTTATATTTATTAACTTCCATATGGCCAGGCTATATTTTTGCTCCTTTTTTGGTTTGGTGCATATACAAAATATTCATTGATTTTACATCTTTGCACTAAAATATTTAAAGCTTTTT